AAAGTTTTGGAGATGGATGGTCATGATGATTGCACAACAGTGTGATTGTGCTCAATGCTGTTGAATTGTACGCTTAAAAATGGTCAAATGGTAAAACAAACAAAACCTCCTTTCCTGAAAATCTGTAGAAATAGAGAGGAGATTGTGGTTGCCTAAGGCTGGAAGGGGTTGGGGAAAATGGGGAGTAAATGCTGATGGGTAAAACGGTCTCTTTGGCATAATGAAAATGGCCTAAAATTTATTGTGGTGATGGTTGCACAACTCTGTGAAATACTAAAAACCATTGACTTGTATACTTTAAATGGGTAATTTACATGGTGTGTGAATTATATCTCAACTAGAGGCCCGGTGCATGAAATTTGTGCACTTTGGGGGGGGGGGGGTTCTCAGCCTGGTCTGTGCCTTCTTGCAGTTGTAGAGCCCTCAGGGAATGTCTGACTGACGGCTTAGACCCACTCGTGGTGGTGAGTAGGCCTAAGCCGTTCAGTCGGACATCCTTAGCACTGCCGCAGAAGCGGGAGAGGCTCCTGCCACTGCCGCTGTGCTCGCCAGCCATGAGCCCGGCTTCTGGCTGAGTGCCACTCCTGCTGTGGGAGTGCACTGACCAACGGGGGCAGCTCCTGCATTGAGCATCTGCCCCCTGGTGGTCAGTGTGTGTTATAGCCACCGGTTGTTCCGCTGTCGGGCCGAAACTGGCTCTCTGACATCCCCCGAGGTGTCCCAGATTGCGAGAGGGCACAGACCAGGCCAAGGGACCCCACTGGTGCATGATCGGGGCTGGGGAGGGACATGGGAGGTTGGCCAGCTGGGGAGGGACCATGAGAGGGCTCCAAGGCATGTCCGACCCGTCTCAGTCAGTCCTGATTGGCCGGACCCCAGCAGCAAGCTAACCTACTGGTCGGAGTGTCTTCCCCCCGGTGGTCAGTGCACATCATAGTGGGCAGTTGAGTGGCCTTAGCATATCATTAGCATATTATGCTTTGATTGGTTGAATGGACAACTGGACAACTGGACACTTAGCATATTAGGCTTTTATTATATAGGATTATATAGGGTAAGGCTGATATACATAGAGAAATCTCCTTTGTCATTTGACAATCCCTTTACCTAGACAAGTAATCTACAACTTTGGCTGCCCGTGACATTCCTTCTCATTCTATCCAAAAATTCAAATTCCTTTCTTCTTCTCCATCAAAAGTAATTACCCTCTGCCCATTTCCTTCCCATCCTGCTGCCCAAAACTAATGTTATACACTTATGGGTTTTTTGTTTTGTTTGTTAATCCCCACCCAAGGATATTTTCTCCATTGATTTTTAGAGAGAGTGGGAGGGAGGGAGATAGACAAAGAAACATCGATGTGAAAGAGACACATCGATTGGTTGCCTCCTGCACACATTCCCTTTGGGGGCTTGGAATAAAGCCTGCAACCAAGGTACGTGTCCTTGACTGGAATTGAACTGGGGACCCTTTAGTCTGTGGGCTGATGCTCCAACCACTGAGCAAAACCGTCTGGGGCCATTTATGTTTTTTAAAAAACCTAATGAGTGCCTATGATAAAGAGCCTCTGACACCTAAAAGGTTGAGCTAATGTGGAAAATCCAGGGAACCTGGCAGACCATGGAGGATATATTTAGATAGGTGTCACAGCAAACACAGTAGAAGCTGCCCATGATCTTTTCTGTTTTTGCTGCCAAGAGGGATAGAAACTATCAGTCACAGGGATAAGCTTTCACTTTCCAGAGAGGAAAAAGAGAAAACAAAGAGCTTCCCAGCAACCCGAGTCACTGGACTTAGTCAGCAGTACAGCAGTGTCCTGGGTTGCTTTTAATTCCCTCAAAGGTAAAGTCCTGGGATTCATGGAAGAGATCATGATTAGAAAGGGCGATCTGGGTTCTAGATCAGCCCTGTTCCATGTTAAAGGTAAACAAAGCCAGACAGTAGTCAAAGTGATAAGGATTAATCATTGCAATGGGAAAAGAGTCCAGCATGAACTGAACTGAACTTTGAATTGTACGGAAGTGAATGAATGTTTTCAAAAGAGAATAAGGAACAGGCAGGGGATTGAGCAGGGGGCTCAACCTGAGTCAGGGACGTGAAAAATGGAAACCTTTAGTTTTCTTAGGCAGGCACTTTAAGGGAGGTTAGGGTCATCCTAAGGATGTGGCCTTGAGCTGTTAGAAACTATGTTGGTGTTTTTATTAAAGTCTTTAAAGACAAAGGTTTAGGCCTAGTCAAGAAGAGGGTTCGAGGAAGCCTGGCTAGAGTCTGGTCAAGGAGAGAATCTTGGTCATCTGTCACTTGCTGGCTGTGTGATCCTGGGTGAGTCACATTCCATCTCTGACCCCTAGTTTCTAAGATCAAAATACTCCCCAAACCAGTACCTTTCCCAATAACTCACCCCTACTTGTTGTCCTGAAAGATAGGGGGGACTTGGGTTTGAGTCTCATATCAGTACTTATTAGATATGTGACTTTGAACAAGTACTATTGCCATTGAGTGCCAGTGTCCACACCCTTAAAATAACAACAAATGACCTTGACAGAGATTGGCATCTATGACTTCTGCTTCATTACATTTCCTTGAATATATCAAAATTGGGACTTTCACTATTTTATGTGGTAAAGTGAACATTTCAAAATAACCCAAACGTCTTTCAGTAGAAGACTTGTTAAGTAAATGGGACATTTACACAATGGAATCCTGAGAAAAAAATTAAAAAATAGATAATTGTAATAGAATAAAGGCTAAAAATCATGAAGTGGAGGAAAAAATCAAGTTATAGAACAGGATTGCTAATTAGATCTCATTTTAATTTTTATTAAATAAAAAAGCATATAAATAATATATGAATATGCACATGTACATGTATATGTGTATAGAGATAAAAGCATGGTTGGATATACACCAAACACTAACATACCTGTATTGTTACCTACTGTGTGTTTGTTATATGTGTATGTGGATGTTGGAGAGTGAAGGATGATGAATTATATAAGATTAGAATCTATTAGGGAGGATATCACTTTTCCTATTAAAGAGTAGGCAATTTGTGCCAGGCTCTTGTGCATAATCATTCAAATAACCTGAGAGGTAATGATGATACCGACAATGATGACTATTATTATTCCCATTTTACGGATGAGAAAAGTGAGATGCAAAGAGGTTAAACAACTTGCTCAGTATCACACTATTGTAAGGTGCCAGAGCCACAGCTCTAACTGTGGCACTGACTTCAAATTTTTCCCTTTTAACCAATATTTAACTTCTTAGCTAATTGCTTTTGAAAATAAATAAATAAATAAATAAATAAATGAATAAATAAATAAATGCTTATCAGCAGAGTGATTTGCTAATTCCTAGATGGCCAATCTTTCTTCATCACAATGAAACCTATCACCATTTAATATGGAGAAATATTTCCCACATCGGAATGCATATAGGAAAAGGGATGCCTGTCTATATTAGATTAATATCCATCAGTAGTATTTGTTCCTACCAACATGTAGTTTAAACCTTGAAATTATCCCTTTGTTTTCCCTACCATTAGGAACAGTCAATAAATTGAGTGAGGGGAAAATTCCAGCATCTACCAGTAATAATTAAAAACACGTCATTTTCGGTTTGCTTCTGCTTACTGCCCCGGCCTCTAATAATTTGAGGACGAGTGAATGTCTGTAAACCAGAGACTCATGATCTGAGAGTAAAAATAGAAATGGAAAAGACAGAAAATATCATTTAATGGGAACACAATTGGCCAGTTTACCAGCAGGCTCCAAATAGAAATAGTTTTGGAAAACAATGGGAAAATGTCAATTCTGTCTCATAAACCTTTTTGGAGGCCAGTCCAGCCAGCTTTTGCAGCAAAGAGCATGGAGGAGGGGTTAAGCAATAGGGGGAAAGAGGGAGGTGGGAGCATCAAGCATAACCCCACCCTCAAAACCCAAGTGCGGTGGTTAGCAGTAACATCAAATGAACAAGGAAGTTCACATAATTACCCCAAATTCCTTACTGCATGACTTCAACCTTTCTGAAATCACATCCTTCCTACTCCATTTCTCACAGGAAACAATGCCAAAGTATGGATTCTTTGTTGAGTGCATGGAACATGAAGGATTTGTAAATAGACATGGTTAATGCAACCTAATACCCTAGGCCAGTGACACAGATACACTGCTTTTCTTTCTCCTCTTTTTCTCGTTCGGATCCTTATGAACCTTGACCTCTGCTTGTCCTCCAGTGGTCGGCAAACTCATTAGTCAACAGAGCCAAATATCAACAGTATAACGATTGAAATTTCTTTTGAGAGCCAAATTTTTTAAACTTAAACTATATAGGTAGGTACATTGTTATTAACTTAATTAGGGTACTCCTAAGGCTTAGGAAGAGCCACACTCAAGGGGTCAAAGAGCCGCATGTGGCTCGCGAGCAGCAGTTTGCCGACCACGGTCCTAGTCTCATTGCATGTGAAGCTGCCAAAAATCTATTTGGTAGATGCATTCCTGTTCTGTGTTTCATCAAACATGTTTACTAACATGTCAAAATGATGGAGACTAGTTTTGTTTCCAAAGGAGAATAGAGTTCCACATGGCTCAGGGGCAGAAACTACCAGGCGTCATCAGACCCATATCCTCTCCTTCCGGGACCTGCAGCCAGAATACCTTCCCCAGGCTGCTTGTGGTCAGATGTGCTTGGTTCATAAAAATCTCCCAGCTCTCATCCTCCATGCTCTGTCTCCCTCCCCTGACTTGATGCCAAAAAGCATAGAAATCTGAGCAGCTATGTGTTGAAGGTAGCAGGGCTCTGGAGTAGAGAAACCTAGACATACCTGTATTGCCCTGTGGAGCTCACCAACCAGGAGCATTTATTATGGGTTTTGTAAGGGCAAGAAATAAATGTCTCTTGTATTGGAGCCTTTATGCATTTGGAGGGTTGTTTGTTATAGCAGCTGTTTTCACCTAAGAAATGCAAGTTTTCTGATACTAAAAAAGAGACAGACATGATCCTTTTGTAGTTCATATGCATGATGATTGGGTGTTCACGCTCTTGTGTGAGATGAGCCTCCCACAAATCTGTTAGGACTTCAGCACATTAGCCATCTGACATGAGAAAAAAATAAAATAATAGCCCAGCAGGCGTGGCTCAGTGGTTGAGTGTCGACTTATGAACCAGGAAGTCATGGTTCAATTCCTCATCAGGGCACATGCTTGAGTTGCAGGCTCAGTCCCTAATGTGGGGCATGTAGGAGGCAGCCAATCAATGATTCTCTCTCATCATTGATGTTTCTATCCCTTTCTCTCTTCCTTTCTCTCTGAAATCAATAAAAAATATTTTAAAAATAAAATAAATAAATAAGAGGCAGACACAAAGAGGCCATGATTAAGAATTTGATCAGCCCTGGCCGGTGTTGCTCAGTGGTTAGAGTGTTGGCCCATGCACCAAAGGGTCACAGGTTCTATTTCAGGTCAAGGACACATACCTGGGTTGCAGATTCAATCCCCGGCACCAGTCAGGGCATGTGTAGGAGGCAACCAATCCATGTGCCTCTCTAAGATCTATATTTCTCTCTGTCTCTTCCTCTGCACCCATCCCTCCTTTCCACTCTCTCTCTCTCTAAAAATCAATTAAAAAAATATCCTCGGGTGAGAATTTTTTAAAAAAGATATTTTATCAGGTTGATAAAAAGGCTACAATGCCAGCAAAACTCCATGATCATTCATTATAGCTGAGAAAACAGAGGCCCCACGAGGATGACTGAAAGGACAAGAAATCAGATCAAAAGAACTAAATAGTTCAATATAACCAAACAAGAAGCTTTTAAAAAAAGTTTCCTACAGTAATTCAATAGTGCTAAGATGCTCTAAAATGCTTATATTGGGGTTGAGTAATATTTTGGAGAGATGAAAGGAAAATACTAAGGAGAGGATGAAGAGAAACAATAAAATGGCATCAGTATGAGGACCTGCGGAGAAGACAGCCAGTGACAAATGCTCATTGTCCTGCCTGGCAACAGGATTTGAGGTACATGAAAACATTATATTGAATTTTATATTAATAGCCTTGTTATGATGTGACATAACTCTCTTCAATCAATATAATGCATTTCCTGGGATATTTTAAGGAAATCAAGGAAAACATGCTGCAGGTCACACCCAGCTTATAGGAGCATAGGACAGATAGAAAAATTAAGAGTGGCAGTATCTACTCATCGGCAGCCAGCCCTATGAGAAAGACATGAATAGGGACAAAATATAAGCCTCCAAGAACTTTTGGGGATGATGGTAGGATGCTGGATTTTCTACTACATGTGAGTATGTGGTAATGCAAAGTATTCTTTAGCATGGGCTCTGAACTTGAACTGCTTATGGCTTAACCCAAGTGTCACCAGTTACTAACTTGTTAATTTATTTATCTGGGCTTCAGTTCTGGACCCTGTAAAAAGAATATAATGCTAGAATCTATCTCCTTGTGATGCTATGAGGAACAAATTAATTAAATAATGTTAAGAGAAATAAATAGTGTCTGGCATATAGTAAGCCTTCAACAGACTTCATCTATTATTATTATTATTACTATATATTATTGCATGTGGAAGACAATGTAGTAAAGTCAGAAATGGTGATGACTAAAACATTTAGAGTGTGGAGTTGTATGTAGTGACTTATGACATTTATGTACAACTATTGTATGTGAATGTAAAATTAGCTGACAAAGCAAAAAGTGATTGCCTAAAGAAACATTATTAAAATGAGATTATTTTTTCTGCCAAAATGGCTAAAATTTGAAAAGATTGCCCATTCTTGAATTTAAACTGGAATTTCTATATATTGCCTGCAGGAATAAAAATGGGTACAACCACTTTGGAAAGTTATTTAATACTAAAGGCCCGGTGCACAAGATTCATGCACTGGAGGAGTGGGGGTCCCCTCAGCCCAGCCTGCATGCACCCTCTTGCAGTCTGGAAGCCCTCAGGAGATGTCCAACTGACAGCTTAGGCCTGCTCCCCTAAGGGGCCTAAGCTGGCAGTCAGACATTCTTAGCGCTGCCGTGGAGGTGGGAGAGGCTCCTGCCACCACCTGGTTTCTGGCTGAGCAGCGCTTCCCCTGTGAGAGTGCACTGACCACCAGGGGGAAGCTCCTGTATTGAGCGTCTGCCCACTGGTGGTCAGTGCACTGTCACAGCGACCAGTTCAATTTGCATATTAGCCTTTTATTATATAGGTTTATCTGTCAATATTGAACATACACAGAACCAAGGCCCAGCAATTACACTCCTAGATGTAGACTCCGTATCTGATCACTAAAAATCCTTCAGAATGATATTTATCACAGCATTATTCTTGATATCCTCAAACTGGATTCAACCCCAATGTCCATCAGGAATAGAATGGATAAATAAAAAAATTCACACCATGGAATACTACAGAGCAATAATAATAAAGAGTGAACACCTGCTACATACAAAAACATGGCCACATCTCACAAAAATAATGTTGAGAGAAAAAAATCCAAACACAAAGGATTAGATACTATATGGCTCATTTGTATACAATGAATATGCAGAATTATAAATACACTAGTGGCCCGGTGCACAAAATTCATGCACATTAAAAGGGGATTAATTAGAGGAAATATTTTAATATTGCTATTTGCCCTTTCTCTATAATAGAAGTGTCAGAGATGAAAGAAAATTAGTCAAATGTATGTGAAAATCTTCCTCCTGTCAGAGTCTGGGGTGCACCAGGGGACCCAGAGTCAAGTCCCCGCCCACCCACATGCACCTCAAAATCGCATAAGACCCAGACCCAGCCCCGGCTGCCCCCCCGCCCAATTGGGCTAGATCCAGACCCGACCGGTCCCACCCTTGTCAAGCCCGCCGGGTGGGGGGCGCAGCCTCAGGTCCCCCCAGCTCCAGGAGGGGGGGGTGCAGCCTCAGGTCCTCTGTCAAGCTCCACCAAGGGGGGGGTGCAGCCTCAGGTTACCCATCAAGCCCTCCTGGGTGGGGGGCGTGGCCTGAGGTCCCCCGGCCCAGGTTGAGGGGAGCAGCCTGAGGTCCCCCAGCCCAGCACTGGAGTGGAGGGGCACACCTTAAGGTCCCCTGAGGTCCCCAGCCCGGTACCGGGACTGGGAGTGTGGCCTTAGGTCCCCTGGCCTGGCGCTAGGGAGGGGGGCACAGCCTTGGGTCCCCTGGCCCAGTGCTGGGGCAGGGGGCGCAGTCTGAGGTCCCCCGTCAAGCCCCACCAGGCGGGGGGAGCAGCTTGAGGTCCCCTGTCAAGCCCCATGCTGATTGCTCGTTAAAGCTCATTACGGGAACTCAGTCTCTGCTGTGGGCACAGCCATCTTTGTTATGGAAACCCCACCTCAGCTGTGGGTGCAGCCATCTTTGTGGTGGAGTGATGGTCAATTTGCATATTCCCTCTTTATTACATAGGATAATGAATGTACAGTGTTGAACATTATACAGTGAAATGACTGTATAGTATTACATATCCAGGTAGTAATGACCCTGGAGAGGCAGGAATAGTGATGGAGTGGGAGCATGAACAGGATTTGTAGTAATGTGCTAGTTCTTTCCCTGGGAAGTGGTTGCACAGGTATGTTTACTTTGCCATAGTTCTGTGAACTATACACTTACAACTTGTGCCCTGTTACTCCTCGGTATGAAGATCTTTATAAAGAAGACCTTTGAACCCAGCCAACATGTCTCAGTGGTTGAGTGTCAACCTACAAACTAGGAGGTCAAGGTTTGATTCCTGGTCAGGGTACATGCCGGGGTTGCAGGCTTGATCCCCAGTGGGGATGGGGGGATGCAGGAGGCAGCCGATCAGTGATTCTCTCTCATCATTGATGTTTCTATCGTTCTCTCTATTTCCCTTCTTCTCTGAAATCAATAAAAAATATATATTTTTAAAAAGAAGACCCTTGATAAGGACGGATACAGTGTTAGCCCCAACTAGATCCAAGTGGTGCTTGCTCTATGCTCCCAGAATCAAAAACTTTCAGTCCCCATCATTGTTCAGAAATGAAACCACAGAAAAGACTCTGGCCTCACCACAGAATAACCTAAAGACAATGACATTTCTTAAAGGAATTAAACAACTAAAGCACATATTATGGTCAGTTCTCCACAAGCCAATAATTCCATTCAAATCTGTTCCCAGACATAGAAAAATAAAAAAAAAAGACCTTCCATTTCCACAAACTTTATTTGTCTTAACATTTCCATTGTTCTGCACAGCAGAACGTTATTAAAAAAGTAATTAGGTATTTTATATTCAATGTTGAAATGCATTTGAATAAGGTTTTTGAAAAAAAGTGATTTTTGAGTCTTTCTGTAGAAAATATTCAAGTTCAGTCACTTTTTTTTTTACATTTGGTGATACCATTTTACCCCCGCCCCAAATATTTCACTATAAATTTAATAATCAACTCAGATCATAACAGCAAAAAATGTTATCTTCAACACTACTTACACTTGTAGTTTTTTATTGTGTGTTTGCTTCTTTAATTTTCATCTCACCCATGAAACTAAGCTTCACTGGAGTCGGAATTAAATTATTGTTGATTATGTATACAATACATAGAATATATATGAATAAATAAATGACTACAGTTTTTAAGACTTACCAGTGTTAATATGTTTCCATCATTTTTAAGGGAGCAGCAATAAATAAAATCTTATGCAGATCCCTAATCCATTAAGTATATACAAGTAAAACTATGGTGTGGGGTTGTCCTCAGGTGTGTCTATACAATCCTCTAAGTCTGAAGGCCTGAGAACCAAGAATATTGATGTCTGAGGGCAGTAGAAGATGGATGTCCCAGCTGAAGCAGAGGGCAAATGCACCATTGCTCTAACTTTTTATTCTATTTAGGACCTCAACAGTTTGGATGGTGCCCACTCACATTTAATCAGTCTGCTGAATCAAATGCTAATCTCCTACAGAAATATGCTCATAGACACGCCCAGAAGTAATGTTTTAACAGCTCTCTAGGCATCCCTTAGCCCCTCAGGTTGACTCATAAAATTAACCATCACAGTGACATTTAAAAAGGCTTGAAGAAATTGATAGAAGAAACCATGAACACAACTAGAAAAAGAATAC